GCTGTGCTCTGCCGCTGGCTTTGTCTGCCTCACGGGCTGCAGAGTTCTTTAAACTAAAGAAGCCGTCTTGCTTTTAAGAAACTAAAGTGATGGTGTTTTTTGAAAAGGTCTTCATAAAACAGAGAAATGCTTCGCTTTTGAGCGAGGTGCTGTCCGACAGGAGAGCACGCGGTTGACTCAACTACAGCCCACGCTTTACACAACAGTTACGGGTGAGTAACGTCACCAGAAGAACTCCGCTCGCCTCCTGGAAGCCCCAGGCAGATCCTACTGAGGCATCTGACTCTTTAGCAGCACAGTTTGGAACGGAGCGAGCTTTAAAAACCACACCGAGCGCCGTCCAAACCTACAACATCGACGCCACTCCCGTCCTGCTCCGCGTTAGCGCCGCGGTGCTCGTACCTACCTGGCACGTAGATGTCCACCGGCACGATGCGGTCGCAGCCCCTCACCACGGAGTAGGAGTAGTGGTAGTAGCCCCCGCCGTTGGCACAGCTGCAAGAGACGGGCAGGTTTCGGCGCGCCGTTAAGTGCGGCTCAGCAGCCCGGGGCGAGACGAGCGGGAGGCAAAGGAGAAGGTGAGCCCGGCCCCGAGCCCGCCGGGCAACGAGCCACCCGGCAGGTTTTACAGCACGGGACGGAGCGGAGGCCGAGGTTTACGCCGTGGCCACTCAGCCCCGTCACAAGCCCTGGCTGGAAGGCAGAGGCCACGCTCGCGGGCTGCCACGTTTCAAACCGAACCGTTTTCGCCACTCGTACAGAGCAGACGCTCAGAGGGCCCTTCCTCTCTGTTGCAAAAACGTTTTTGTTGTGCCACATCTGCACAAAGCATTTCTAGAACTTGTTCTGTCCCTTCCAGGCCCAGGTGGAACGGCCGCCCTCGGCCCCAGCAGCTCCCAGAGACAGACAAGCTGTCAGTTCCACCACGGCAGAGCTCCACAGAGATCACGTTTCACGCTGCACAGTAGAAACATTTTGAAAGCTTTTGTCTAATTCTGAGATTCCAGACGCGTAAAGTCCCCAGACTCTGACAGCTGCAAAACCCCCCAGGATCTTTCCCTGGGAAGACTCTGCAGTTCAGAGTGACTTGACAGACATCGTTCTGCTCACCCCAGTCAAAGGAGCCTTTAGCTTTCATTTGTAACGAGGCCTCTTTACACAATTTAAGGGGCTGGAAATACAAATGTGAAACGTGTTTTCCCCCTTTCATCTCCCTGCTCAAGCAGACACCAGACTTCTCCCACGAAATATAAGGCGATAAGGATGTCCCGGCACTCACCTCCCCATGGAGACCACGTAGCGCGGCTCCGGCATCTGGTCGTAGACCTGCAGAACACAGACATTTCAGACCACTCTCCATCCGCGTCCAGCGCGCGCAGCCGTGCTCCAGCTTCCACGGCAGCCCGCACCTTCCGAAGAGCCGGAGCCATTTTGTTCGTCAGGGTGCCGGCCACGATCATGACATCAGCTTGCCGGGGACTAGCTCGAAACACGACCCCGAAGCGGTCCATGTCGTAACGAGGAGCCGCCATGTGCATCATCTCCACGGCGCAGCACGCCAAGCCAAACGTCATCGGCCATAAGGAGCTCTGCAGCGGGAGAGACGCGGGTTACGGGTGAGAACGCCGAAAGCAGGAGCTGAGACCCTGGGGGGTGACTCTGGGAACAAGAGTTGATCAGACAGAACAGGAAACAGAACAAGAGAAGTTTCAAGGTCTGTTTAGCCAGAGCAGGATAAACGAGAAGGGTGAAGGACAGCTCCGTGCAGACACGCAGCCCATGCCGCCCGCGCGCTCCGCGTCTCTCTCCCGCTCTGACACAGTACCCCAAATGTCAACTGCTGGCCAGGAAACCTGGCTATTTCCCTGGGGAGAATTTCAAACCTATTTTTATCCCGAGGAGGGGATGGATCAAATCCATTCCCCACCAGCACCTCGAAGCATTCGATACCATTTCTCCCCAGCGAGCACGACAGCAACTCACCCTTCGCGCCCAGTTGATCAGGTCATCGAGTTTGGTGACGATATATTCGCCCTTGCTAGTGGGGACGTAGGATTTTTTCTGGACAATAGCTGAGCTCTTTTGCTGGACTTGGACAGAGCTGAAGACAAACGGCGCAGTGGTATCAGTCTCCAATTATTAAGCGTAACTGCAGAACACAATCATTAGCCTCGAGGAGCTGCGATCCCGTAAAGAATCCGTGGGACATTGCTTATGGACAATCTCACAGCCTCTGCTACCGCTGGAGACTGTGTCTACAACTGGATTTCGACCCCACTGCGGGGAGATCTGTGGAGTTTGTTGCTCAGGCAGAGCCGCTGTGTTTGCTGTACCCAAATTACGGAGGGTGCCCAGAGGGCTCATCCCCAGGGCTCATGGACTGACAGCAGCCTGCCAGTTAATCCTGGTTTTAAGAAGTAAAGCGAAGAAAAGGCTGTCGGGGGGTGACAGCGAACAGGTTTCTCCCCCTGTACCACTTGGGATCCCCCCACCCGCGGGAGGAAGGACACAG